CGCCACTGTCAGCGCCCCAGAGGAAGAAAGAGCGGTTTCGGATTTAACCTTTGCAACTTGACCATCGGTTGAGGATTTCTGCTGCAAGCTCCTTGTGCCTGGAACAGCACTTACAATCTCCCGCCGCTTTCCCCTAATCTTGACTATGATGACCATGCAACATTTCGAAGCTGGTCTACTCTGCATCCGCACTGCAGGTTCCTGCTTACTACGCAGGCTCCTTGCAACACTGGTGCTGGAACCAGCATTCTTAGAGGGGTCAAAAAGCATGGTGTGGGGAGGAGGAATGATCGGCAAGCGCGGAAAGAACATGACACAGATCGAAAAGCTCGATCCTCAGGGCGCATCAATGCCCGCCATACCTATATCATATCGCCGTATTTTGAAAGTTCTTGCCCGTCAAGGCTGACTCAGACGAGCATGAGCATGTCTGGCGTCGACGTTTTTTTTCCAGGCCTCGCGCCGCCTCTGATTAGCACAATTCTCGCTGCTTGTTAGTTCTGATGAATTCAATCCTGGGTTTTCGGTCGTAGAGGCGCTGAAAGAATACCGTGATAAGTGATATTTACCGGTTATGCCCGTGGTCGGTGCCGGGTGCAGTATGTTGGATTCGAGATGGCTTCGAGTGTTTGCAAGAAGACTCCTAGAATAGAATCGTCCAGTTCTGGCAGGCACTCAAGACCGCATGCTTACCATCTTCGCGGCAACGAAACGGAGCGATGGCCTCAGCCAGGCGTTTCCGAGGAACGCAGGCCTTGTGTAGCAAGCTTTCTACACAGTGTCGGACTCCTGCCGCTGGTGGTGTAATTAGGTCTTTGTGTTGCCTGCATGTTGACTAGTGTACCTCGAGGCTTTGTCAGTGGTGTGGAAGCCATCGTCAGGGAGATGTGGAGAATGAGCCAGCAACCTGGGCAAGCGCAGCAGAACCACCATTTCGCCACTCGCCAGCATACACAGGCAGACCTTCGTTAGTCAGAGCTTGTCGGTAGTACTGTTTCGTTTTGCAAACTCTCCGTCTGCATGTTGAGTAGTGTTGGTGCTGTGGTTCCTTTGGAGCGCAGTTCAGGGGTTTCACCTAGGTCTTCAAGCTCGTCGTCCCAAACTCAGCCGCCGGCAAGATCATCGGCCGCGATGGGAGCAACACGCGCGAGATGAAGAGAATAACGGGCTGTCGCATCAGCATCAGCCGGCGAAATCCAGGCGATGTGATTCGACCTCATGAAGTGTTTTGTGGATTTGCTGGTGTTCATGACAGCTATGATGCTGCTGATGCTGCAGCTGATCATAGCGTCTCCGAGAGTCCTTGCGGCATCCGGCTGCTGTGCTGCCCCTGACTTCTCGAACGCTCAGTCGCTCCACTGTTTCCTTGTCCCCTTCATTTCGTTCTGTTGGTCGGGCCAGCATCATCTTGTACTGCCTTGATCTTCACGAAAATCCTAGGCCTTGGCTTACACGGAGCTTGCATTCGAGATAGGGTCTGAACCAACAGGTTCCTTCCTGTCATTAGATGAGATTATATGATGTATATGTTGAACTCTGCTCTGATTTTGAAGTCTTTCGATTATTCTAAGCCCGACTCGTCGTCCGAAAGCGAACCCCGCCGGACTGCCCTCTACCCAAAACATCTACTCAAGACTGTGCATCTGCAGCAAACCACCTGGCATTGCCTGACATGTCAATGGCTTTGGCAAGCCCGAGCGTTTCGGGTTTCGCACTACGGCAGATGCGCGTCCACCAAGACACGCAAGAATCCTTGGGAGTGGTTGATTTTCCCAGAGCTCCAGGCTTGAGGTTGGTTGCGATGTGCTGCAGTCTGCGTTCGACACCCTTGCGAGACCGGTGCACTCTTAGTTAAGGCTTCTTGTGATTCTTGTTCTGCCGCGACTGAGTTTCTTTGGAGCTTCTTCCGATGTTTGCTCAGCCTCAGAGCGTCACGCGAAAGTACGGCAGTCTGTGCCGCTGTTGAATGGCATCCTCCGGATACTTGTCTCCACCGGTTCACAGCAGGCCATGTGCCAGAACTCCGGCTGCAATGGGCCGTGAGTCGAGTGCCTGTACTCATGTTTCTATAGAGCTCTGCCGCGGACCGTTCCTTGCCGGCACGTCCAAAGAAAAAACGAAAGGTCTGGCCAGAGTCCGCTACAAGCATACTGTGGAGACCATGTTGAGCCCATATAACTTATACTGCTTCAAGAGAGGCCTACATATGTCTTTCATACCCCCGAAACTGCCTTGTCTGAATCACTAGGTTAAAGCAGCTGGTGTTGTGAAGTGTTGTCTCCGAAGAGGACATATCAACCAGGTCTGCAGCAAACAGACTTAAAGGAGTATGCTCCGGGTGCCGGACCTGTTCCACGGCAGCCCAGTGGAGCAGGAATGCATTAATGTGGGCGAGTCCATCGCCACATTATATTTCTTTTCCCTGGACCCATAAGTGCAGATGCTCGTCTACAGCAACAGTGGGCAGATGTGGGCAGGTACACCAAACTCAGAAACGGCTTAGCAAGGGAACGCTTTGGAATTCAAAAGAAATGTTCCGTTTGCTTCATGCCGTCTGTGTGACAGCTTTTACGATGTAGTACATGGACCCAGCACTTCATTGGGGCGACATGTTCCATCGGCAGTCACGTCACGTGAGCATGCAGCAGCAGATTTGACCCAGTGTAGCCTGGCAGGTGTCCAAGAGCGCGTTGTTGTTCTACTTGCAAGCAAGGCCAGTCATAAGCACGAAGATGTTCAGACGTTCATCGCGCTGCAAGGTTCGACTTTTTCTCATGAGAGCTGCCTCATTGCATCCAGGGCTTAGGGGCACGTAGAAGCGAAAGGATTGATGGACACGGCTTTGTGAAGCTGTTTAAACGGTAGGCTTCGTTGCGCTGCAGCATGTTCTCGTTGATTGTCTGGCTTGGACCGTTCGGCCCTGTGGGGGTCTCTTCATGTGTTGAACAGTTTAGTCATGCAGCCGTCGAGCTGCAGGACGGATGCCTTGTCCAAGGGGCGGTAACTGTTCTGGAGTGCATCCAAGACGACCCGCATCTGCATGAGTTGCTCGCTGTGGAGGGTAGTACAAAGGTGTCCAGCTGTTGTTTTTTCCTTCAACTCTTTAGCCAAAAACCAGTGCAGATGGTGGCGCACCGTAGTAGACAGCGCCCGTTAAGTAAGACGCAGTTGAGGCAGTTCTGGGCGACAGGGCTTAAGTGCATCGATGGCTCAGGCACATGGATTTCAAGTATGATGTGGAGCTTCCCCTTGGTTGCTGGGATTGCGGCAAGCCGGGCCCGGCTGAACCAGATGCAGAGCTGATGTCCTTGGAGGCGCCGCGCAACGTAACCAACAAAAGCATTGAAGGCTTCCGGCATCTTCCGTCAACGGAGACGCTTACTTTAGCAAGCCTGGACAGCACCAAGCTGCTGAACTGCGAAACCGAGGATCTTGCTACCAAGGTCAAGGCTTGAATGTGCAGTCATGGAACAGGTTCCAAGGCATCCGACTAGGAAGTTTATCATGCTTCTGGAATGCTCCTTAGCTTTGGTACAGAGTTTTTCGGGCGCAAGCTGTTTACAGACCATATGCTGAGATCCCATGGGCCTGGAATGTGGGTATCCTCCCGTAAACCCGTGCAAGGGTGCGCCCCCAACAGCCGCACCGCAGTCCAGGAAGCCAGAGTATTGCCCAAACGATGCATCGTGGAACACCTCATGAAGGCTGTTCCAGATGCAAGAGCAGGTCAGAGTCACATCTTTCGAAAGCTTCTGTTCACTTCCCTGACAGTCGGAGGCTGCTCCGAGAGAGATACTCGTCCGACACCGCCTGCTTGGTGGTATCAGGAAGATTCTCAAGGTGAAGACCCATGAGATGATTCTGGCTGCTGCCCGGCAGGACGATGGGGTGCCCCTCTCATCACTCTCCCTGCAGCGCTGCGAAATTGAAAAGTGCCACTCTCCACAGGGAAGTGATCAGCTCTGTGTGCCCTGCTTTACTCGAAGCACTTCAACACTAAAGCACAGATTTTGAGCAACTCCCTCAAAACACATGTACTCAAGCGCTTCCAAGCTGCAGCTGCAATGTGTCGGCGCAGATAGTGAATTAACCGCCCGTGAGTTTCTGGATGTTGGCATTGGAAGTGTTGGAGGATTCGGAGACCCATTGGCCCGACAGGGATTCCTGGAAATCGGAATGCTTGCGATTGTCGGATCCGCACCACATCTCAGGCTTTGGAAGAAGCTTTGCGCAGTCTTCCTGACCAGAATGAGGAGACCCTCAAGCCTAGACCGACATCAGGCCATAGCAGACAAGCATCAGAAGGGACTCGGGGTGCCACGTGTTTCCGAGTCCAAGTCTTGTGCGGAAGACCGTGATTGCCTGGTGCGAGGTATGCTGCCGGTGGGACTTCTCAGACAGCCGTGAAGCCGATCTGGACTCTTGCCGTAACGCGGTCAGGTCAAAGCCCTGAAGCGACATCCGAGCTGACACATTGCTGTCCTCAACAGCAAGCACTGCTGAAAAGAGTTCCAAGCCGACGTTCTGCATGCGGACGAGTCGCTGGTGCGACCAACAGGTCCGAATTGACAGCTCGCTCATGTACAGTGTTGGATGTTCGCACGGCTCCTAGTAAATCGGTTTGGATCGGAGACTAAGTCGAATTAGAGCCATGCAAACTTTCCAAGTCGTAGTCTGGCTTCTCTCTGATACAGAGGAAGCCGTGGCACGTTTCGAGAGGAGACGTCGAGGGCGCACCTCACGATGCCTCAGAAAAAAGAGCGGATATGCGGTTGACTTTTAGTCGCAGCGGTTTCCCGGGGCTTGGAAGGTTGAGCAGGAGGTATTGGGAACCGGATTTGTGGAGGCCATGTTTTTTCGGAAGCCTTTTTCGAAGTTTGGGACGACAAAGGATGTGGTGCCTGCTTCATGCTCGAGGCGCATGCTGACGAAGAGCAGCATGCTCCAACCTCTAGATATGCAGAATGTGACACGAGCAGCCCAGATCGCGAGATCCTTCAATGGATGTGCAATCCGAGATTTTTTGGTTCCTTTGCGAGAAAGGTGGATGGGTCGAGACCGTCGAGATCCGAGATTTTTTTGCCCGAGGACATGATGCAGCTGGTCGCAAATCTGATGTTAATCCACATCTGTACGCGCTTGAGAAGCAGGGGAAAATCACGAAGGACACCAGCTCAGGCAAACCGCGCTGGAGAAGCGCTCAGAACGACACTACGAGTAATGCAGCACCGCAGCAGCAAGAGTCAAATGCTTCTGACGCGAGACCCTCATCTTGCCAAACTCCTGATCTAGCTTCTGCAAAGGGTGAAGTAGAGAATGCAAAGGGCCGGCTGCTTACTCTGTTTGGGCAGCATGCTGTAAGCTTTGCAAACTCGGAAGAGAATGGCCGCTTCCGCGCCACAGCTCAAGTTGGACAGCAGGAGCCTCGTGCAGGGGAGCTGTGCTCGACCAAAGCGGCCGCGCAGCAGAGCGCAGCGGACGTGGCCCTGCAGCATCTTCGCTCACATCCGAAGCTTATTCCTCAGGAGTCGCCAAGCGGAGACTGGAAGGGACGTTTGCAGCAAGCAGTGCAAGCTTCAGGCACACTGCCTTGCTACAAGACTGTGCCCTCCAAAAATGGCGGCTTTGTTTCCACTGTCACCGTCGGGGCTCAGGAATCCGAATCGCTCTCTTTGGGGCGCCGCAAAATCGATGCCGAACAGTTTGCGGCACGGCTGGCTCTGGAGCAGCTTCAGCTCAGTGGCAAGACTCCGCTGGCCGCCAGCAGTAGCGTTGATCCTCCAGCTGCTCTTGCTGCAACCACGGAATCGACCCTGGAGGACGCAGCTACAGCACTGCAGCCTTCAATTTCTACATGTGTCGATGCAGTAGACAAGGACCTGCAAATCGAGGCTCTGCGTGAGCAGTGCGAAGAGCACGAGAAGCTAAAACAGCTGCTCCAGTCGAGCCAAGACTACAACAAGATCCGTGGTAACTTTTCCCAATGCATCAAGGCGGCCTACAGGGATGGTGCTATTGATGAGGAAGAGAAGAAGCGGTTGCAGGTTGTCAATGGGCGGGGCAACTGCGCAAAGCACAACCCTGAGAAACTGCGACCCAAACAGCCTGATGCCGCGTCGAGCAGCACCGAGCCACAAACCAGCTCTGGGAGCGTTTCCTGCCCAGATTCGACTCCCGAAGCCTCTGCGCAGCTACTTGTCGACTTCCAGGATATGGACTGAAGTTGCGAGCATCGTGGCAGGTCCTGGACTCGCTGCTCCCAGATGCAGGCGGATGATCATGAGCGCCTTCGAGGAGGCGTAGATGCGAGAATCGGGCCTTCTTTCCGTTTTTTTCAATGATCCGCGAACGGCCACACGAGTTGGGCAAGTTCTGGCTTTGACATCAAGCTGGCCCGAGGCTTGGTGTTTGCATCTCAGGTTGAATTACAAGGTCACTAAGTCCGCTAAGTTGGAACAAGCCTGCTTCCTGCGGCATCCTGCGGCCGTTGATTCTCAACC